GAAGATAAAAACACAATTGAAAAATCACAACCAATTAGAAAATTACCACGAATCTAGAAAATTACCTTCTTCTTTATCTTCATCCTATTCTTGTTTCTTTTCAACTCTTCTTCAAAGATATAAGTTTTGTCACCTTATAAGATTAGGGAATCAATAATTGTACAATCGGCAAATAATGGAATGAGTAGTAATCAAAAGGGTATGTCTAGTTCATGTATAACAACGAAGAAACCAAGTATACGAAACATCAAAAGTATTAAAAATCATATGCCAATAGGCAAATCGACCTTGAGGGTCCAATTGATTAAGGCCTTAATGATGAGATTTGTCCAGTTTTTATATAACTGAAATATATATCAGACTGGTTGCACTTTCCTCTCCCAAAATTCACACCACTTATCCGGAAAACATAGATCTCTTCTTCTTATTCTTCGAAGATGATAACCTTTTAAAAATAAAACAAACATTTAGATGATGATGAGGAATTATATACCTTGAAAACAGAGATTTCGATTTTACTTCGGAGAACAAAGAGCCATATAGTTCTATTGCACATAGCCATCTTGTAGCAACATAATCCTGCAAATAATCGAACACCATTTTACAGAACTCTTAACCTATGGATTGAGATGTAGTAAAAAAAAGGGTCATCGAATGAATTTTCAATCGATTACCACCGAACTAAAATTTACCGGAATAAAAAAGATGGAGACAAAGATTAAAAATGATATGAACAATAGAGAGATGACGTTGATCTGACCTTGATGAATTGAATGTGCATGGCTTTGATTCTCATATTAATGTTGGCGCCGAACTTGAAGAAAAAAAGAAGACGATACTACAAGTATTATTACGTTAGTTAACCACTAAGCCATTAATAGCATGTACAATGGTTAAATTTTAACAACATAGAGCAATACCAAATTAGAAAACACCAAAAATAAATGGATATGCATTCTCTTACCCTTGCATGTCACATAAAATTCAGAATTGAAACCAAATATCATTAAATTATAAAATATTCAATATTGTTTCGATGTGATAGTATGTATGCTAAATCGAACGAACAACTCTCATCCTTTTAGCAACCCTTCCAAACACATGTGTTTACCATCCATATAGGAGGTGCAAGTTGTTATCATGAAAAAATGAGAACCAACTATATATTTTCTCATTGTCCATCTTCTAATTCTTTATGCAGTCATTACAAACTTTGACATACCAACCTTTATTACAAATTCTCTTAAAATTTCTGTTTGATATTGACTTCTCTTTGAGCTTTGTCGATTTCCATCAAATCTATTTTTATTCATCGTTTTATCTTTTCAAACTTTTTCCTGAAGCTTTCCATCTTTTTCTGATATTTTTTTTTCTTCTTTATTTCTAACATTTTTTATATTTTTATATTTATCTTTTTTGTATTTGATGATTGCTTCTAACATTAGCTACATACGTAACTGCACAAAACCAAAATACATGAAAATCTTTTATGATCAAACCATTTACTATAACAAATCATTTGTCTCGCAAGTCTCTCTTTGCCAATCTAAATAAAAATATGAACACTATAACTTTTACTATGTTTATACATCATATATATATCAGAACGATGAGATACTCCGGATTTTGCAAAAAGAATATACTCCAATCACAACAAATGAATCACAACTTGGTTGCTTTATAGCTTATGATTCCAATAGATCCGACATATATATTCTCTCTCTAGATTATTTGGACTTTAATCATATAATACGACCTTACTTACATCTTGATCCCATCATTTGCTGGTGGTTATATTAGGGATGATTTTGTACTACATGGATGTAATCACGTTTGTTTTGGTACCATTGGCTATAATATTGAACTCGATCACTGTCTATTTTGAAAATATAGTATACTTCAGCGAAGGATTTTCGCCAAAATTGTATGATATATGAAACTATAAAAGGGTAAAAACATGAACTTAAAACCCACTTCTGTTAGCTCGCTCAAATCGTTGCGAGCATTGCTTAGCTCGGTCTCTGAAAAAATGTGGAGGAGTTGCATGCAAAAAAGAGCAACAGCCAAAGAAAGAGAGGAGAACCGAGAAAAAAATATTAAAGAAGAAGCCCAGCGTCTTAATGATGATTCTGATGGAGGCAGGAGAGAAGTTGATGATAGAGATTTCGAGAATGGTTGGATGAAGGGTAAGCGTCAGATCCTGGAGCTGGAGAACCTCGCTTTTGACCAAGGTGGTTTCCTGAGGGAGAATAAGAAGTGTAAGCTTCCCCCTATATATGTTTAAGGCACAGAACATTCTTCTTTGTGCTCCACTATGTTTCTTACATAACACGGTAGGTTGGCCAGATCGTTAGTTTTATAATTGAATCAAAAACAAATATGTTCTTCTCCTTTTACCATTTGCTGTCGCCATTTAGGAATATATGAGATGTAAACTTTGGGATCGGAACCCATTAATTAACCCAAAATATGATTTAACTAAAACATCAAAAAGCGACCATCCACATAGCCAAAAGTTTCCTACAACGTGCCATCCAAATAATTGAAGCCAATTTGTGTACTTGTTTAGTCTATAATCCAAGTAAAAACTCAATATAACACTCAATCAACAGAAAAAAAACTAATGACCTTGTAAGAGCCATCTGTCTAGCCAAAACCAACTGAGACAATGAATCGTTTCTCTAGATTCTAAAAAAAAAAACAAACCAAAAAAAATCTAATAAAAAGAAATAAGAGAATCACCTCTGGAAAAATAGACAAAGCCTTCCTCTGATGGTCATCTTATTCCTCCTACTCTTTCTCGTCATAGTATCCTCTTTGAACTTCTTTTTTTGTTGTCTCAGTTTGATCGTCATCTTCCTCTTCACCTTTATTCTCTTCTTCAATGTTCTTTTCTCCATCACATTTAAGACAACCATCATGTATC